GATCAGGTACATAGAATGGGACTGAACTAAGAAGCTGCTTGTGCAATAAAATGCCTTTCTGGGTTTCGTTGTTAGAAACAAACGGTTCAAGTAACAGCCAGACAGTTAAAATAATTTTTTGTCTTCCCTTGGTCTAACCCAGACTGCAGCCTGACTTGAATAGTACCTCAGGCCTGACCTCATCATCAGCTGCAGTTCTGTCCATACATGGCACCCCAAACAGACTGGATTTGAATTGCATGCTATGTTTGCTCTCAGCTTCTCCTAGATTTAGGCTGTCCCTGAATACATTTCAGTTTCAGACTGAAAGATACCTCAGTCTTTCACATGAGTCCTATTAGCCTGTGCACACCACACACACCCTTCTGGGCCGCTCCCTTAAACAGAAATGTGTTTTGTGCTGGACTGAACAGCACATTTGTATGACAGATGAGCACTGGATTAAAAGAACAATTCTAAACTGAACTGGCGTCATCCTAGTCTGAGTAAATAAGGCAGATGAGCATGGTTATACTGAGTCTTTTTCTGATCTAATTACATGCAATCAAGTACTTCTAGGGAAGGAGGTATCGCTGGATTATTTAATTTTCACAGCTACAGTTTAGTAAAGCAGGAAATGGTCACAATCTAATCACATATTTCGCCCCTCCCTGCTTAACAAGAAAAGCATACTTCTTCATTCAGTGATATGCCTAACAAAAGTGTTTGAGAGTTAAAAGTCTTCTCCTGAGATTTTTCCCTTTCAGTTCTTCAGAATCATTCCATAAGCTTCTTTAAAAGTGAGGACTAAACAGAAAAGTAGAGGGGGAAAAAAACACCCAAACTTTTCATTCTGTTTTAGACAATGAGCAGAAGTTCAAAGTAATTGGTTTATGTTCTTGCTAGTTGGCCTCCCTTCAGAAGGCTATGGTTTTGTTTAATTGTGCTTGTGGCTAACTGAGCTGCTACTAAATAGGAATCAGATTTGGGCAGGCAGGCTACCAATGTCTCCCAGATGGATGAAGGCAACTAAACAAAGGCAGAAGAGCTGCTGTCTTCTGATGCGGGATTGTTCCAGCTCCAGGTGGTTTTGAAGCACCTGTAATTAATACGCTCAAGAGTACGCACACCTGAAGGGAGTGCCTGTGGGAGGGGGATAAGAAAGAGCTCATGAGCAGCTGCTAGAAAAACATTTTGTTTCAAACCCTCTTTTCCAGTCCACCTGAAGTAATTTTACATTTTTCAAAATAAAAATTGCTCTGAAGGTAAGGAAATGTAGGAAACTGCCGATCTCACGTCCAAAGCTCCCACATCGTACATGGTGTGATTCTTGGGGCTGTTCTGTGCAGCGACAGGAGTTGGAAATTGAGGATCCTTTTGAGTCCCTCCCAACTCAGAATATTCTCTGATTCTGTGATGAAATACTGCAGGTAGTTGAGCCCAGGATATGCACACACGTAAAGCTGCAAAACGCCTGCTGTGCCACCCAGTCTGCAGAGAAGCTTGGGGTTGTTGAGAAGGGCAGTACAGCGCTGGGCTGGGCAGCTCAAATACACGGCTCCTGCACACGAGAAAAACACAAGTTGAACAGCAAAGTAGAGCTTAACGTTCCCTGTTAAACAGCTGCAATAGCATCGCATATGGTCTTTGCATTCCCACTGCTACTTAGAATCAAGAGCCCTACTCTTGATTCTTGCCTGTCATTACTCTTTCTTCAAATTTGCCCACAGGAAGGCTGCATTCCCTTTTCATTTAGTAGAATTTGGGTGGCATTTATAGTAAGAAGTTTCTGGTACTGACAGACCTCTCCATTGGGATAGGTATTAGCTTATAAGTTCCCCACATCGAATTTGTGATTACTGTTTTGAGGCTTTCTTATCAATATGGGCTTTTTCTTACAAAGCAAAACAACAAAACAAAGCAGAAAGCAAACAACAAAATTCTTTCTCCTGTGTTTGTACAGAATTTGTACTGCCTCACTGTGTGGCATGTGGGGTCACAGCTGCAGCAGGCAGGCCTGACAGAAAGTCCCATTAAGCCACACGTGCCCCAGCTGCGTTTCAGCATCCTTGTTCCTCTGTCCTTTCATGCTGAGGTGCCTGACAATCTGCAGCACATGCCTGATCACAGCTTTATGTCATACTAATAGAGGTTGTGTCTAAGGCTTCAGAAAGGATGTATCAACACAGTGTAAGGCTCCAGAGGCTTGCTTTAATTTTTTTTTTAATTTTATTTGTGTGTGTGTGTGTGTGTGAGCAGCATGTGAAATGAACCTATCTGATAGCCAAGGAGCAGCAAACTGCTTGGAGATGAGACCTGACAAACCCTGGCCATGTATGCCTCTGATCAGCATCTGGCAAGGACCATTTTGTGTATGTGCTGGATGCTTAAGAGACAGCTGCCAGGAAAGGGTAAGTAGGACATGTTGGGGGGGGGGCAAAAAAGAAGAATTACAGTGAGGAAAAAAAATCTGAAATTGAATATTTAACAGTCCATCCACTCGCTTGAGTTGGGCACCCCTGCAGCACAGAGGCCTGTCTTTCCTCTGGCATATGACCCTATAGGTAGACAGATCCATCTCCAAAAGTAATTTGGCTGCAAGCATTTAACAGCAACATGTCTACAGTTAGAATCTGAATTTATATTAAAAAGGGTGTCACATTAGTTAACCACAATGTAAAGTGAGTATCTCCAGTTAAGACAGCTGGGCTACATCTGCTCCAGATATTTTCTGTGGCATTTTAAGTAAAATACACAGGTGTGGTCTTGCTGTAGTGATTTATCCTTTTCTTTTTACAACTTGAAATATTGAGGAAGTCAGCTCTCATAACTATACAAGCTTATTATTCACCCTTCAAGTAAAACCTTTTTAATGATACTTGTCCTGAATTATCAAGCACAAGAAATAATTATGCATGTTGATAACATCGCATATGCTTTATGAGTGACAAACAGAAGTGTTGCAGCACTGCATGTCAGAAAATATGCCCCTCTCTTCCTAAGCAAGCACAGACATCATATTTTACCTACCTGCAGCCTCCCCTTACTTGAGATTAGTCTGTTGGAAAAAAAGAGAGAATATTGTCCTTGAAGACTGATAAAAATTCTAGACAGAAACTGTTGGATTTTCTTATCCTTAGCAGTTAATGAATCAGTAAGGGAAGTTATTATTTAAATAATTCCAATTTAATCTGACCAAAGTCATTGGTCACAAGATGCCTACTGGTAGAGAAGTGGAAAAAGAAAGTCAGATTTCAGTTTGTTAAATCTTGGACTGTAGAAAGTTTATTCCTAATTTTAAAAAGCACCTTAATTTTCCACACAGCCTTAGCAAAATTGCACTGTGCTGAAGACAAGTAACAATAATGTGATAGCTATGTAAACACTCTGGATTTGTTTTGTTTCAGTTCAGTAAAATGCATTTTGCATAGGAATTAAATAGTTCTCATGCCACATGAGGACAAGATTGAGCATTGGTAATTCAGCTGTTCAGTATTACATCAACTGAATGTAGCCCTTTGATTCCATCCTCTTGTATTTTTGTGTCGGCAGAATTTTCTCCTACTGATGAAGTTAGCTAGCTAAGGATCTCAGAAATTGGGGTGCTGGGTGGAAAGGAGAAGGTATCTGACTTTGCCCGATGAAGGACATTCCACTTGAAATAGATTTCTGTTTGCCTTGAAATCCCCGTACTAACAGGAGGTGAGCATGCTTTGCAAAGTTCTGGCAGCTCCTCAGACGTCCCTCGCTAGACCTTGAGCTTTATGCTCTAGAGGGGTAACAAAGTCATCTTGAAAATCCATCATCACACAAATACCTAGATTTAAACCGTTGCTGGAATTTTTACAAGGTGCCGTGTTGCTGAGAATCTGTATTTGGCCAGCAGACAAGTCCAGGCAGTTATCCACTGCTTGTTTGGACAAGTTAGTTGTCATGGAAAATTAGCATTACGCTCCCTCTGCTCTAGTGTATCTTTAAACCCTGTCTACAGCTCTTACGTTCTCTAACAAATCTTTTCACTCTTCAAAAATAGCTTCAAAATTTCACCATGGGCAAAGAAAAAAACCTGAGAATTAGAAAAGGCAGTCAGACTAAAAACTAACTAGTTCTGTGTAGCAACTACTAAGTCCCTATGAAAGTGAAATACTTCCAAATACCCTACATTGAAAAGATACAGAAAATTACAGAATGAGAGGTGACACGAATATAAGACAACAGCATCCAATTCTCTTTGGATGTAAAAGTTTTCTCCTCATTCCATCTCTTAAGTATCAGTGACAAAACAACTTAGAAGAAGGCACAAACGACCACTGCAAATCATAACAGTATCCAGAGGCGTGGTTCCCTATCAGCCAGGCAACCAACACTTGCGCTGCCGTGTCCCTGAATTCGTGAGGGGCGTTCGCGGGCCCCCCTGCCTCCCTGCCTGCCCCGCTGTTCGCGCTGTTCGCGCTGTTCGCGCTGTTCGCGCTGTTCGCGCTGTTCGCGCTGTTCCCGCTGTTCCCGCTGTTCCCGCTGTTCCCGCTGTTCCCGCTGTTCCCGCTGTTCCCGCGGCGCAGTCGCCGCCAGGCCCGAGCGCGGCTGCCGCTCCGCGCGGCACCGCCCGGCAGGGGGCGCCGGGGCACCCGCGGGCCGCGAGGCCAACATGGCGGCTGGGGGCGTGCAGGGCGCGGCGGGGCTGCGGTAGAGGCTGCGGGCCGGGCCCCGCGGGCTGCCGGCGCTCCGCCCGCCGCGGGCCGGGCTGCGGAGCGGGCGCGGTTGGCGGTGCGTGGGGACCGATCGCGGCTCGCTCGGGGGCCGGGGTGGGGGCAGGGGGCTCTCGCTTGTCGCCCGTGCGGCCTCGTTGCTGGGGAGGGGCTGCGGCGGGGGCGCCGTGCCGGGCGGGCGGGCGGGCGGGCCGGGGCCGGCGCTGTTCTCCCGCGCCGCCGTCCCTCCGCCTCGCTGGCCCCCGCCGCGCTCGGAGGCCGCGGTGAGTCAGCGCCGGGCCCGTCCCGCCCGTTCGCCCCCCGCGGTGACTCGGCGGCGGCGCTCCGGGTCATGCTCAGGCATGTCGGGCCGGGCCGGGCCGGCGCGGGAGCTAAGCCCTGACTTGCCTCCTGCTGGCAGCGCTATATAAGGCCCGGCCCAGCCCGACTCGGCCCAGACAGCGCCGCTGGAGCCCGGCGCGTGGGCTGTACGGGACACCGAGGTGAGTGGGCCCCGCCGGCGTGGCGGCTGCCGCCAGCCCGGGCTGTGTCGCTGCGTGCCACGTTCTGAGCTGGTTCTCCCTTCAATTGCAGGCAAATGTGCAATACCAAGATGTCCTCCCTTACGGATGCCTCCCCTGTCACCGGCTCGGAGCAAGAGGCGCTGGTCAGTAGCTCTGTTGGAAGCGCGAGTTTTTTTCATACTTTTTGCAGAGTTTTAGCAGCTAATTTAGAAAGACCACATTTTTTTGCAGCGAGCGATGGTTGTAGAAAAACCAGGAAATCCGGTGAAGGTGATGTCTCTTTGATCCTGTAATTGTGAAGCAAATGTTATTCATGGTTGAGAGTTGAGGGTGATGGTTTAGGTCTAGACTCCATTTACTAGAGATCTGCGATGGTTTTTGCTTTCTTTTAATAAAAAGGATCTTATCCGATTTGATCGTGGTTAGTATTTCATGGTGGGAATTGTTAGTAGTCATAACTGAAGAGTTATGGAAGATCTCCGTTGTGCAAACCGTACTGTTTGTGAAATAATCTTAAGGTTTTCTGCTTTCTCCTCTATTCATAAGCAAGTGGTAAGAAGAGTCTTCGTTTGTTTTTAAGGCTTTGCATATGCAGGGTTTCCATGGTACAGTGGCAGTTCTGCTGCCCTGGTTTGTGCATAAGCTTTCCTGACAATGGAAGCCTGTTATACCTGAAAGACAAGTTAAAAACAGCACATGTGCAATGATGTTTGGACGGGGCTACTGTATGTAGAAGGGTAAAGCTTTAAAGGGTAGACTTAGAGTAGAACTTCAAAAAAGTGAAATAGCAGAACAGCCAAAAACTCTTGACTTTTTTTGTTTGTTTTTTTTTTTTAAGTCATCATACTGTGATGGTACTGTCCGCTGTCAGGTCTGGGAGGCCAAAGAATTTATACTTGGAGGAGTCAGGAAGAGGGCTGGGGAGTAAAAGCGGGCTTGATTGTGGATTCGGAGATCTGAAACTGTCTTCCTATGCTTAGCTGTCAGTAGTGCTTTAATAACTTATTGTTTGCTTCCTTTACGAAACCGTAATATGTTCTGCATGTTCTAAATAATTCAGCCCTTAGGAAGAGGTGAATAGACATCTAATGTTGTCCATAAGCTTGGTTATTGTTCTTATTATGTGTAATTCTTGCATCTAATGTCTTGTTAACGCACTAACACTTAACGTTGGCTTTAGCAGATCTTTAAAATGAAATGCAGGGAAGTTCCCTTCCCCCACCCGTCCCTTAAGCATTTATTCCTTGTCTTGTGATATTTTGTTCACACTTCCCTGTATTTTTTTTTTTTTACATTCAATATTTATTTTTGTATATTTTATTTTGTGGACTATATCAAGATAGCTAAATATTAGCCTGTTCCTAGAACAGTTATGCCGTTGTTAAAGAGGCGACCCTGCCATATACTGCACTGGGAACCATCAGTGGCTCCACAGGCACTTTGAAGTTATGGCAGCCCCTGCAGCTGGTTCTCATCTGCTGCAACTGGGCTGGCACAGCTGTGTGGAACAGTGCAGTGAGCGGGATCAGGACACTGCTCTGGCCAAAAGAAAAAAAAAAAAAAAGTTGTATGTATGGGGAAGTGATTTTTTTGTTGTTTAACTTTTCCGTCCTCTACCTCAGAAATTGTTGCAGCCTGGCTGCAGATAAAACTGCTGGCACGGTGGGTGGGTGGGAGGCCATTGCAGAGGTAGGAGTGAGTCAGGTATGATGGGAAGGACGGGTTGTGCTTGTCCCAGCTAAGAAAAGTCTTCCAAGGTAAAGCAGCCCAATTTGCAAATGTAAACCAAAGCCCCAGAAACTGTCACAGAAAGAGACAGAGCTGGACTAGTGTTTTGCTTTATGACTTGCGCTCTGGACCTGACAGTCATGAAGGTGCTTTGCTTTCCTCTCTCCCCTTTGGGAGTCATTGAAGTGGTTAAAGAAGTGAAGCTGAATTCCCCAGATCGCAACCCTGTACTTGGAACTAATAAACAAATCCGGTAGCTCAAATTAAGGAATCTCTACTTAACCAACATGTTGAGGTTTAACCGCAGCCAGGAACTGAGTAGCAGAGAGCTGCTTGCTCCCCACCCCACCACCCTGCGGTGGGATGGGGGAAAGAATCAGAACAAAAGGTAAAGCCTGTGGGTTGAGATACGAACAGTCTAATAAGTGAAATAAAGTATATAAATAAAGAAAAGGGAGAGTAATAAAATCCAAGAAAATCAAGTGAAGCACAGTACAATTGCTCATCACCTGCTGACTGAAGCCCAGCCGGTCGCATGGACTGATGCATCAGTCGGTCTCCCCTGGCCAACTCCCCCCATGACATTCTGTGGTATGGGATATCCCTTTGGCCGGTTCAGGTCAGCTCTCCTGGCCATGCTCCTCCCACACAGTTTCTTGTGCACCTTCTCACTGGTAGAGCACTGGACACTGAAAAATCCCTGGTTTAATGTAGTTACTTAGCAACAACAGAAACATCAGTGTGTAGTCAACACTATTCTCCTAAATCAAAAAACATAGCACTGTACCAGCTACTAGGAGGAAAATTAACTACCCCAGCTGAAACTAGGAGATAACCAAAGACAACTTTGAGCTAGGATGTATGTTTGAGCTAAGGTGCGTGAAAAGTTTAGTATGATTTTGTTCACGTTACTTGCTTTTAAGTTTTAACTTTGCAAAGTGAAAAAATGTGAATGTGGATTTGTTTTAATATAGTTGTGTGTTTGCATATCAAATTAATACAGAAGGAGGAACGTTACCTGTATAAGTTATGGTTTTTTGGTGAATAATTGGTGCAGACTGTTTTTATGCTTCCCCACACAGGTTAAACCAAAGCCACTATTGTTGAAGTTGTTAAAGTTAGCTGGTGCAGAAAAGGACACTTTTACTATGAAGGAGGTGAGAACTTTTAATCACTAAAGGTAGACTACAGTGAGTACAGATATATTGTTTTGTTCTGGGTGAATGGGGGGCAGTATAGTTCATAACTTACCTAGAAATTATTGAAGAAATTATTGAGACAAGACTTTGTGTTTATTCTGCTGTACTAATTATTTAGCTAGTTTCTCAAAAATGTGAACAAAAATTTCTTGTGATTAGAATAGCAGCATTCTTGGGGAATGATAGATGAAAATCTGTCAGCTCAAAGGGAATCCTAGGCATTCAAAATTTGAAGAGCAAATTTCAGTGTATTTAATGTGCTTGCTCTCTTAATCTTGAAACAACAAACTGGGTATTTAATGTCTGTGTATTTCATTTACTTTACAGGTAATATTCTATCTTGGACAATATATTATGTCTAAACAATTATATGATGAAAAACAGCAGCATATTGTACACTGTGCAAATGATCTCCTGGGGGATTTATTTGGAGTAACAAGCTTTTCAGTAAAAGAACACAGGTAATGGGATTCTTTTCTGAGAGTCTGGTTGGAAAATAATGAAGAACACAATGCGTATGACCTTTTTAAACTCTTTGCATCTTTAAGATGGTAAGCTCTCTTCTATGATTCCATGTAGCTAACTTGCAATGATTTTTATTTTATTCCCATTTAAGGAGACTATATTCGATGATTTCCAGAAATCTGATAGCAATCAATCAACAAGGTAAGCTACTTTAGGAGGCCGTTTGGTTTTGAGAAACAGCAGTAGGGAAAATATAACTTATATAATGCATCTTGCAGGTATTTATCAGATAACAGCGATCTCTCCATTATTAGCTATTCGGCTTTACCCACTGCTGTCCACAGCAGTCATAAATAGTGAATCAAAGCAAACACTGTTTCTTCTGGAGGAGAAAAAAGATTCTGAGCAGCATTTGGGTAATTTTGTTGACTAGAACCAGAACAAACACAATCAGACCTGAACAAAAAGAGTACTAAATTAAAAACTTGGTCGTTGGCTTGTATTTGTTACAGCTAAAGCCCTCAACAACATAAAGTTTTAATATGAAAAACCAACTTCTTGAACTTGTGTCAGCAATAAAGTCAGGGCAAATGCTGTACATTTTCTTTTCTGTTGAAGTTGTGTTTTAATTTTCAAAACTGAGCATGGAATGTATTTAGAACTGGTCATCCTCAGCTATGCTGAGTCTTGTTTTCAAAGGTCTGCATCCTTTAAAAGAGTAGCTTTGTGGTAACTGTGCATAGCCACTCCTTGAATGGAGAATTGTTATATACAGTCCTCTGTCCTGCAGTATAAAAATGCTCAATATAGCTGTAATTTTTGCCTCATACAGGATGTGAACCAGAAGTTAAACAATGGAAGCCATTTTGTAAATTAGCTTCTAAATCTGTATTAAGACACGCTTTGTTTCTGGTTCTTCCTAAAGGCAAGTTCAGCTGCTGAACATGGGAAACATGCTCTCTTTATTTTCCCTATTGTTATGCTTGCAAACTAAAATTTATCTCTCAATTTTTTTTTAAAGAGTCTTTATTAATTCAGGGTCTGTCTGATAGTAAGAATATACCATCAAAAACAGCTATTTTTTCTTCTATTAATTGTCTTCTTAATTCAGTGTTCCCATTAAATGACAACTAGAAGAAAGCACTTTGTAGAGGAAGAAGTGTATTGCACTTCCTGCCTGTATTCTTTCATATCTGCAGAATCACAGCTCCTGCACAGCCTTCATTTGAAACCATTTATAATAAAATTCTGAGCTGCTTTGTGGTTGACATTTCTCCTTCTTCTCCTCACGTTCCCACTTCAGTAACGTTACAGGGAAGGTACTGCACACACCTGAAAAGCAAAGGAGCAATGTGGTTTTTTCAGTTGTTCCAAAATGTCTGGATTTTAAGTTCTATTTAGGATTTACTTTTTGAGCCTGAAATTAAAGTTTTCTGCTATGTTGTATTATGGGTTTTGGCTTGGTTTGGTTTCAGACTCTACACTTGGTGGCACACCTGAGGATGATGCCAGATCTCAGCTCGAAGAAGAAAATGTTCTTAAGGTGATACTTTCATTTTATTTTAATAAATGTTCTGAGTTGTAAATTCTGTTTGGTTTTGCATGATAGTGTCAATGATTTAGATGTAATTAGTTGATTTTAACCTTTTACTTCACATTCATGCTCAGGCTTACTCAGTATTTCTGTTAATCAGGAGTCTATGCAAGAGTTAGAAGAGAAGCAGACTTCATCAAACGTGACTTCTCGACCAACTACATCTTCTAGGAGGAGGACACACAGTGAATCTGGTATGTGCAGATTTATGATGCAGAGCTTTCAGTAGCATGTCCACTTAGGGGTAAAAGTTCTCTGCTTATCTGAAACAAAATGTTCAGCCTGAAAAGAAAAGCACGATTCCTTGCATTGCTCCAGTGTCATGTTACAGTGATTTTGGATATGTTTAGGTGATGAACCTGATTGTTCATTAAGCACTTATTAAAACATCTGATGACTTACACATCATATTTGCGTCCTTTTTGTGGTTATTCAATAATCACTGGCAAATACATTTGCAAAATATGAAGTGTTTCTTTTTATAATTAGCACTAACAAGCTGGTCAGCATAAACCTGAATAAGTTTCTCAGTGGAAGTGTTCTCTACAGTTCTACTTAAATACTATTCTGTGGAATTTCTTACATTAGTTTGTTCCATCACTTGTCTTACCTCATGACTTGGTGGTTGTAATTATCTGGGCAGTGATAACCTTCTGTCGCTGCATAGAACAGTTTCAGTTACTCAGGAACATTTTTCAGTTCCTCAACTTTTGAGTAATGTTTTTTGTGTTCCTTGGAGGCCACTGTTATGTCAGTCAGTCCAAAAACTGTGCTGCGTTGCTGAGCGGTTTGCACTAAATTAAAAGAACGTTTTAATGTTGTAACTAAAACTAGTAAAAGGATGGAAAGTCTTGGTTAAAGAGCACAACCTGTAATATTTAGGCATGACCCAGAGCACATGAGGTGCTGTGTTGTGCTTACTTATTGTAGGTTTGGTTATTAACTGTTGTCTTTGCATCCCTTTATTAGTTTGTTACAACTTTAAAACTTCTTTTAATATAGTGTTTTTATATACACTTTTTTTCTAATTTATAGGAAATCTTCCTTTTTACCACTGTTCTTGTTAAATTGGGATAGTAGTGGCTCCTTTGGAGCCCCTTTTATAGTGTATAGAAACCTTGTGGTGATACAGTATCAGTACGGCATGGAGCCATGACAACTAAATGAGGACAACGATGGACAGGAGCAACCCTTGGGCCTGGGGGCTCCAAATTTGGTGGGGCTCTCAGGGCGGAAAAAAGAAAAGAGAGGGGCTGAGCCAAGAAGCACCAAGGGAAAGTAAGAGAAGTCTCAAAGTATGTACAAGTGTTTTGTTCTCTTTTCTTTTATGATGAAAGATTCAAGACTTGAAGACTCGTGGATTGTCACAGTGTGTTTTTGCAAGGCAAGGGAGGAGAGGCTGGGCAATAGAGGGAGGGTGCAAAAGGCACCTGTGGCGGGGCAGCGGGCTCATACTGAGGTCTGTTAAACCAAGTTTTCAGGCATCTTGTGGGGGTTTCACTCCACTGCACTTATATACTGACTTTACAACACCTTTTTTAATAAAATTGTTTCTTACCAAACACTCTAAAAGTCAGTGGAGCTGAATTTTGACTTACCTATCCCTAAAATGCTTCACCCCTACTCCTTATGCTGCTTCTGGTGATTGTTTCAAAATGTGATGTATTTAAGAAGCATTGTCTTTTTGCCTTCAAACCAAGCATACTCAATAGGCACAGCAATGCTCTCAGAGTTCAATTTTTATATAGTGTGTCTTGAAGATTTATTTGCTAGTGTGAGCTGAAAGTTATAACAGTTGTTGCAAAAATCTTGTTGAGTAAATACAATTACATATAGTGGAACTATTCATGAAATTTGTTCAGGTGTCTGAAACTTGAACCTGAACTTACCTTGCTTAGCATGAGGAATTCTGTATGCATGTGACCTGGGAGCTAGTTGCTCTGTCTCCCTACAAATTCTGGGATGGACACAGAAACTCTCTGAAAGTGCTTTTCTGTCTACTGACTGTAGAGGGAGCAAGGACAATTGAGATCTGTTTCTTAAAATTAGGAGGGGTATAATGTGTCATGTGTGGAGTAAAAATTCTTCCAAATCTGCGATCATTTTATTGCCTGCATGTGGATACTGCTATTCACAAGCTGTACTGATGGGACAAGTGGGGAAAGCCAGCCCCTGAAATACTGGCTTCAGGAATGTTTATCAGTGCTATTGTGTCTTTTTGAATAAATTTTGGTGCCTTTACTTTTTTCCTCAAAAAATAATACTGAATTATTTTATTAGATTTCTTTATAAGTAAATTATATTTTAAACTTCTGTTAAGAATATTCAAAACTACACATTGCATGAATGTTTTTGGAGTAATAAAAATTCTTGAATATGCCCAGAAGAAAATTCTTCGGATGATCTGCATAGTGACAGAAGAAAGCGACACAAGTCAGACAGCATTTCGTTGACGTTTGATGAAAGTCTCTCATGGTGTGTAGTCAGTGGTCTGTGCCGGGAAAGAAGCAATAGCAGTGATTCAACAGATTCTCTTTCCATTCCCGTAAGTCAAAATATAAATATAAAATATCTTTGTGGTACAAATTCTGCAGATGCCACAAGTGCAAATATGCATCTGAAAACATCATGATCTTAATTAAAAGCGGAAGTGCCTTCAGTGTTGTGTGAGGAAGGAAAAGAGGATGAAAGAAAAGATAGTTGGTGGGTGGGGTTTTTCATAGGTCTGGTGACAAAGATGAAGGGAAGTTTTTTAAAATATTAACTTTGAATATTCTTTAAAACCAAGATCCTTACTGCTTGGCACAGTGTTGAAAAAGCTGTCAGATATATTTTGTGTTTTAAAGTGTTTCTTAGAACGCAGTGCTAAGAGAAGAAAAGCAGTCATAGACGTTCCATAATTCAGAATTAGCTGGTAGTTCTGGTACAGCCTGGGTAACTGTACTCAGTAGTATGTGTGCCGATGATACATCGTATTCATTTTTCAAGCCTCTACTGTTTCGTGTTGTTTTCAACAAACACCAAGGCAAGTTACCTGTGGTGACATTAAGTCGTGAAGAGCTAAACCAACAGTATTCCCGGTCACATACTGTATCCTGAATTGACAGAACTAATACCGTATCTTCAGTCTTCCTATTTTATAGTTGTTCAACCACAGTCTCAAATTAAAGATTAACAGAGTTGATGAGAATAGAGAATTTAATGACATGCAACCAAAAGACAGCATCGTCTTGTATCTGTTCTTTCACTTTTTAGGAGAGCCTATGTGAAATAGTAACTACAGTCTGCAAGCTGGCTATAGGCTGACTGCAACCTCTTATTACAGAGCCAACAAAAGGCTTTCAGATCTAGCTTTATTTTTACCTACCTATAATTTCTTGATCTCATAGAAGATGTACTGTCTAACAGCTGCTGGTCTTATTTCTTCCATAGCTAATTAAACTGAGTAGCACAGTTTTATCTTAACTGTTTTAATAGTAATAGTTATGTATGTGGACTAGTGAGGTTGAATGTGTACTTTCTCTTTTCTTTCAGGATCTTGACGCTAGTTCATTAAGCGAAAATTCTGATTGGTTTGACCACAGTTCTGTTTCAGACCAGTTCAGTGTAGAGTTTGAAGTTGAGTCTATTTATTCAGAAGATTACAGCCATAATGAAGAAGGGCAGGAGCTCACAGATGAAGATGATGAGGTACGTATTTATTTTACTTGGGTTTTTTTTTTGACCTTGGGGGTTGGTGAAAGGGAAAAGGAAAGTTACAGGAATACTTCATGTTGATATTCCAACAAGAACTCTGCATGTGCTGTCACAATTTGCACCCACTTGTTCATTAAATCAAACTACATGTCAGTGCAGTTGGGTCACCGTTATATACCCAGCAGGAAGTAACTGAGATGTTGCTGAGGCTTTCTGCAGACTCTGAAAGAGGCTGTGTAGGAAAGTTTGTGTGTTTAACTTCACTCACCAGCTGTTGGAGTCAAAGGCAGCATGCATACTTTACTTGACTATTTATGTATTTTTAGTTATAAAAGTAAGAGTTGAGCTTTAACATTACTTGATATTGAATGAAAACTTACTAGTAACTCTTTGCAAAGGGATACTTCCAAGTCATTTGCCCCTATGAATACAAATGTTTCATATTGATGCTGAGCCCCAGTTTTAGAAATACTCATTAGTAGGCCAGAAGTCAGTAAAATTGTGATTACCATAATTTTCAAGAGATCTAGATGTATGGGATGTCAGGAATGAGATGAGAATGTATGTGTTTTGGTTTTTTTTCTGGGTTAGTTTTCTATTACTTTAGAGGGGTTAATCAGCTCAAGATTGGTAAGTAGCAGAGGCAGAATTCACATACATGATTATGGTACCTGAGAGGCTAAATGGGACTGACTGCACTGATGTACATTGACTTGTACTGTAGTGCTGCAGAGCTGCACCCTGAGATAAGACACTAATTTGGAGAAGGAAAGGATTGGGGTGTGCCCCTGCTCCCAGCAGTAGTTTTGAGAATTGCAGAATGACTGAGGTCGGAAGGGGCCTCTGAAGGTCATCTTATCCATCAGCCCTGGCTCAGGCAGAGCTGATTGCCCAGGTCCGTGTCCAGATGTCTTTTGAATATCTCCAAGGATGGAGTCTTTCATAGATGCTCAAGGCAACTGTGCCAGTGCTCGGTCACCCACAAGTAAAAAGTGTCTGCTGACATTCAGAGGAAACCTCCTGTGTTTTAATTTGTGCCAGTTGCCTCTGTTCCTGTCATTGGCCACCACTGAAAAGAGCCTGTCTCCCTCTTCTTTATACCCTCCTTGCAGGTATTTATACACATTGATAAGACACCACTTGCCCTGAGTCTTCTCCGGGCTCCTCTGGAGCTCCTCTAATCTGTTTAATAATCTTAGTGGCACATCACTGGAGACTCTTCAGTTGCTCCCTATCTGAAAATCTGTAAGGTTAAAAATATTTGGGGTTTTTAACTGTGCCAGAAAAGAGTTACATATTTTTTTTTCCATTTAACCAGGTTTATCAGCTTACTATTTACCAGGATGAAGATAGTGATGGCGATTCATTTGATGAAGATCCAGAGATTTCTGTAGCTGTGAGTAAAAACTTGTCAAGTAAAGTGTCATAAATTGGGTGAACTGACAGAATAGATCAAGAAGTATAGATGAATTCTATTGCTACCAGTGATTTTTTTATTTTTTTTTAAGAATCAAATTGATTTTTTCTTCTATGCTTGAAGGTTCTAATTAATATTTTAATTATTGAACATGTGATTATTAACCTTGATATTTTTATAACTAGTAAGCTTCCTAAGGATATAATTTCCAAAGGAGATTATTTGAAGCCTAAATCTGACTTTCTACACAAAATGAAAAAATCTTAGTCACGTACATTTAAAAACTCTTCCTGTAAATCAGAATACCTAGTTTTATTGTCCATCCTGAATGAGGGTATCTCTTAACATACAGATGTGAAGGCAAACCTTTTTTCTGAAAAGTAATATAAAATTAAGAGAGGCTTTTTCTGTATTCTTTGAGACTATTTTTGAAGTGTGGGAAGAAACTTAGGGTCTTGAAGCACACACTGGAATTAAAATGTGGGGTATCTCATTTATATTTGCTTTTCACAGTTAAACCTTAAATAAAGTTCTTTTCTAGAACTGTGTGAAATGTTCCAGTCCCCTGATGGTCTGTAGGACTGAGGGACTTTATTCTTAGTTTGTGAAAGACAGGTCTGGCCACCTTCTGAAAACATAACAGTGCTTATGTGTGGTAAAAGAGGCCTGTACATTATTTTTAGGATTTAGAATTGGTCTTTTAAGCTTTTGATGTTACTGATGTTATTCAGGACTTGTCTAAATAAGTTTTGGGTGTTTTTTTTGTTTTGATTTCCCCTAGGCTTGCATTATTTCTAAGAAGGGTCTTTCTCCTTAAAAATTAAACGTATTTTTAACAAGATGTAGTGGCTTATTTTCAGTGTAGTCAATAGAGTAGCTGCTGAGATGGTGTTGCAAGACTTCCCCCCACCCTCTTTTTCACTTCTGGTTTCTTATTGGCCGATGTGTTCTCTTGTACCGCTGTGTCAGAGTGCCCTCACCTGGCCATTTTGCACACCAACAGCTCAGCATCCGACGGGTGAAAGGTCCCTTCAGTCTCAAGTAGCTCCCATTTCACAAGTCCGTTCTCAGAAAGAAGGGGAATGGTGACCATTTTATTAGAAGTTTTTCGTGAGGTTCATTGAAGACTTTTGTGGTCTGGCTTCTGCAGTTTTGCTTAAGAAATAGTAAATCATTATTGTTCTAGTCAAAAACCTACTGCAAAAAGAAAGGAAATCAGAGTTGTTTTAAAATAAGAACTATCGTAATCTAGAACTGTAAAATGGGGCCAAACACTGAATGGCGTTTTAAAATTATAAGCAAGTCGGTAACTCAACATAATTATTATTTTGACAGTAGTAAATTGTTTACAATCTCTGAATACTTCAATTGAAAGTGTTCCAAGTAGCTTAAGCTGTTCCAACCTTTAATTCATTAAAGGATTACTGGAAGTGTCCTGAATGTAGCGAAATGAATCCTCCGCTTCCACGACATTGCCACAGATGCTGGGCCCTACGTGAGGATTGGCTTCCAGATGAAAAGAGTGAGAAATTGGAAAAGAGCAAATCAGAAGGTCCCTTCCCTGCAGAGTCTGAAGAAGGTTTTGATGTTCCTGACTGCAAGAAAACAAAAATGACTGAAGATAAAGAACCAACTCTGAATGAGAATGAGGAGAAAGCAGTACAAATTTCCGAGTCCCAGGAAAGTGAAGATTATTCCCAGCCGTCAACATCAAGCAGCATGTTTTGTAGCAGTCAGGAGGACTATAAGGAACCTGAGAAGAGAGAAATGCAAGACAAAGAGGAAAGCATGGAATCCAGTCTGCCTGTTACCAGCATAGAGCCCTGTGTCATATGTCAGAGCAGACCTAAAAATGGCTGCATAGTACACGGCAAGACGGGACACCTCATGTCATGTTTTACGTGTGCAAAAAAGCTTAAGAAGAGGAACAAACCCTGCCCGGTGTGCAGGCAGCCCATACAAATGATTGTACTAACTTATTTTAGTTAGTTGGATGTTGACTGGAAAGCTGCGAGAGAAACTATTTTTGTATGCTTATTGGAAAAGTAGTATTTTGGATCTCTTTACGTTCGGTATGAAAAATAATTGTTGGCATAAATGCACTGGAGTTGTTCAGAGGTTCGCACAATAGTCATAAATCAACTTGGAGATTTTGAATCCTTGTCTGTAGAAATAACCAAGTCCTGTAAATCACCTGCCTCTCCAAGTGTTTAATGTTCCATGCAAGTTAGTGACATTTCTTTTACTGGATTAAATACACACATTAAAAAATCCCAGTTCAGTGACTGTGAGAGGAGACACATGTCGAAGCAGTCACTCATGCAAGTTCCTCATCTTGAGAAGGTAGAAGATTCTTCAGGTTGCAGTATTTGTTGCCTAGTGAAGACACCAGGCTCAATCAGACCACGCTGAATAAGTCAATAAAATAAATAGTTTTGTCTTAAATTCCTCCAAGTAGCCAAATTATGGGGGAGATCTTAACAGGAAGTAGAGAAAAATGTGATAGAAAATAATTTAAGGCTTTGGAAAAAGAGAAGGGTATTGTATGTCTTTTGCAATGCACGCTATAAAAATAAACATCAGTAACATGGGGACTGTACTTAAAAAGCTTAATCTGTAAAAACCTTTGTCCATTACACTGTCTCCCATGTCTTTGGTTTTTCAGCATGATCCCTTCTCTGCAGTCACTACCATGGCTGTGTAACTGCCATGCAGGGGGAGCAGCTGCCCTTACCCAGTTCCTACTGGGGCAAATTGTACCATCCCACTCTTGTTATTCTGTTCCAGTCAATCCCCTTTAATGATCTCCATACTTTAAAAAAAAAAAAAAAATAATTCATCTCTCAGAAAGGCATGTATGGCCAGAGTGGTGATTTTTGCTGTTCACAGTTGCTCACCTTTAGGTTTATTCTTCAGAAGCAATTTGCCTGTAACACTGTTTTGGCAAAAGATAGTCTGAGAGCATACAGCATAATTTCTTTTATGCTTTAAAATTTTACTTTCCTCATGTATCTTGTTGTGGAGAATAGCCCAGGAAATACCCTCCAATCCACACAATGGTGAGGAAATGGGGATTTTTGGTTTCTGCATCCGCAAATCACTCTGTCAAATCTTTTTGCCTCGAGTCAGATTTTCTGGCTTAATATTATGCCTAATGGGCTCTAGTACAACTAGAGTTTGCTTGGTTTGGGTGCATGCCTTAGGAATCGGGGAGTGATGAGTATTGGTGTCCGTTCTGGTTCCTGTTGGGGACACGGCAGCCAAGCGCGTGCCTGGGGCCCAGGGGTGTGTAGGTGACACACAGACCCCAGTGCTGTGGCCCTGACCCCACGCTGGAGCCCTTGGCTCTGCCTCCAGAGGGCATGAGCTGTGACCACCCTGTTCATTCTGGCCTGTAAGCACATTGCTGGCCTTGGGCAGAGGCACAGAAGTCAGTAAAATTTTGGTACAAAAGTTGACAGTTGTTGTTACTTTGATGTTTGAGATCCTTATTTAATATCGCACACGTTTTAATCTTTAATTTATTGCCATTTGTAAATATTCTTGTGCTCACAGTTAATGTTTTGAGTTTTAATTTATTGAATTAGTCTACTGGTATATGCGTAGTCATATAAATATGCTTACTTAAGTAAATCTCAAGAAAAATATTTAAGAAATGTAGCATTAAAATACAGAGAAATATTCGGATTTTATTTAGATTAAGAAGGCCACAGAAAGATTTATGGCTTTGCTTTCTTTTTTTTCTTCCCTTAAAACAACTTCTGTGTTGCACTCGAACATTTATTAGAGATGGAGCTGGTGCAACATGAGCACAGTGAGAATATTTTGATGGAGTTTGTTTTCAGTAATTTTCAGTAATTGTCTTAGTCTCTTCCTTCTTACCCATCAGATAGACAATAGTAATATATAAATGGTGCGAGAACTCTCATTTTTTCTTTTTTATAAAGTATGATAAACCTACTTATTGTTTAAATACAGCTCTTTAACTATGTACCTATTTGTTAGTATTGAAATTCAACTCTTGACCCAAGGAAGTGAAGTGCAAAGTGAGGTACTTGAGGCTGAAACCGAAGTAGCTGGGTGGGTGGTTGTATTGAACATTCACACTGCAAGGTGATGCTTTTTACTGAGCAGCACCCCTTGAGTTGTGTCTGTGTTCCTAAGGAGCACGTGGGCAGAAATGTGTGCCACGAGTGCTGTGCTGCACTGCGCCCATCAGCAGGTTGATTCCGAAAGGGTAAAAGCGTTTCAAAATGTTAATTGGTGAAAAGCGTTACATCTGTTCTGAAAGTGTGGTACGATTTTTATCACTGAGTTCTGTTTGCTGTAAATTTGTTCCAATGTCGCTGTCTCCGTACTGTCTGTGTGGGTATGAAGCCACATGCAAGATTTCAGGCAGACTTTTTCCCTTTATTGACTAAGTTGAGGGGAAGATAATTCCTCGTTCTTACAGAAAGCGTCAAGGATAATTGTTTCAGAAAATTGTCTTATAAAAGAGAGATTAGAAAATTATTAGAAGCATGATGAAACTGAATAAAACAAATCAATAATTAGGATGAATACAGCGATGAAGACCTTTTCTTTGCCATCTTAATGTACAGCTGCTCTTGTGTTAAGGTGTAACTTTAGAGTTTATAATTTTAAAGCAGGTAATTTATCGAGAATGTTAACTTGCCACACATATCGTGGGGCAGCAGTTATCCCTTACCCTACAGTGCTTTGTTGTGCAACACTTGGCCTGAAAAGGGGCATTTGCTGTTGAGGTGTTTCCCTGTGTGATGGAGCATTGGACATGTGCATGGACTCGTGGACAGGCAGAGCTCATCCCTGTGCTGAGCTCTGTCAGCTGCTCTCATGGCCGTTCTCAGGGCCAGCAAGTGGGTGCAGCGTGGAGGGGCTGCAGGGTCACTTCTGTACTTGCTGAAGCCCATTCCGTAGTGTAGTTACACTTGTGCTCTCCTGCACACCCTGCGCCACCTCACACAGGGACTGCTTTGCTGGAGTATCAGCCCTCTGGCTGGCAGGGTCTGCCTCTTCTGGGGGATTACCTGCCCGGCTAAGGGGGCTTTTCTGGCACTCCATACCTGAGTTAAAGGTTTATCTTGAGTTGTTGTTTAAAGGTTGCACAAGCAAAACAAAACCTAGGCTTAAGGTGTCTTTTAGCAATGTTAAAATTGCACTTAGTGAATGTGAAAACTTGTTGCTTTTAACTATAGTGTGTCCCTTTTTTTTTTTATATTATTTTTAGCACAGGTGCACTGAAAGCTTCAAGTGAATGCCTCTCTAGTGTATCTGTATCTATATTCTACATGTAAAATTGGTCATACTTAAAAGGTGTTGTCTCACCTTTTGAGTAAATATTGCTTTAGCTTAACAGCCTGATTTTAAAGGACACTTCTTGGTTGTGAGCCAAATTATTGGCTATCTACATGATGATTACTTAACACCTAAAATACCAATAGCTTTTCTAAAATCAAAATCTTTGTTGTCTGACTACACATAGCTGGAATTACTGTTAAACAGAGTAGTTCATAGTGAATTGAAATAACTATGCAATATTGCCACTATTCCTAGATGAAGATGCTTTCAAGAGCTTGTAATGATGTGTACCTTCTGGCTACCCAGTACAATCACAATCAGTAACCACTGAAATACAAGTATCCACTCCACTTGCACAGTGCATAGATCCCTTTATGAGAACTTTCATGCATGTTGCATTTATCTTTTGGTTTTCAGTTGTTCTTTTTCTAGGGAAACTGAGTACTGTGTTCCATTTAAAAGCTTTAAATAAAGATTTCTTTATATACTCTTTGGTGCTCTTTCTTTTTAATGTTAATGTTAATGACTTGATTGTTACAAGTTCTGGTACTTGGTTTTCATACAGATTCTTGTTCCTCTAAGCAGCATGCACACTCTTTCTGCCCTCACTCACCTGCTGAACTGCTGACTTCTCTCAGATTTCTTGCATTTTGGGGATTTTACACTCAAAGCATCTCTAGTTCTTTCTGCTATAAGTGACAGACCAGAACCAACTATCAGTGGTGGGACTTCGTGGATAATTAATTACTTCTCTGACCGGTAAACAAGCCACAGCAGATCAGAGGGTGAGAAAAGATAGAAAATTCAAATGTATATGATGAATACATTAAAAAAACAGTACCTTGCGCATGCAGCCCTCATTCTCAATCAGCAATACTGTTTTCATGTTCTGAAGTGCATTCACACACTGAATGCAGCTGGCTGGCAGACAGGTAAGTGGCTGATGCCCAAGCTCCACAGCCCAGCTGGTGGGGCCTGGTGTGACAGAGCAGTGCCTCAGGAAAGATTTGAAAAGGCATTAAGGGATTAACTGCATTCCTGCATTTTTTATTTACTGTATACAGGAAAAGATTGATGTTTCCAAAGATAATCTCTTCTGGTTTACTTTTAAAATTGCGTAAGAAAATTACTGGCAGATAACGTTTTAAAATAAACACAGGAGATGGTACTAACTGGCTTTTCTTGATAAATTTTGTGTTTATTGGACAGCTTCAAAGGGCCCTGACAATGATTTGCAACTGGCCAGGCAAAAGAAATCTGCTAATCCGGCTACAATACAGCCTAGCCCAGCCAGGGGAGTGCTGAAACCAGCCTCTGTAACAGGAACTGGTTTCTGCCTTTCTAAGTGTGCCTGCCAGCTCCTGGCATGTGTGTTAGACAGTCCCAACAGTGCAGTAGCTACTGAAGCAATATAAAGCCATTGCTAAAGCTATTCAAGGAATCTGAATTGTCTGTGGTTCTGTTCCACACCAAATTCAGTTAAAAATGGGCAAGGTATAAAGCTGTCAGTGACTGTTCCCACATTGTTTTCAGCAGCTCTGCTGTAGAACACTGTTTTCAGAGAGACAAATTCCTCCCTTCTCCCTGATGGTGCAGATTATAATCCAGCTTCCAGGAGCGTGGCACTTCAGCACATACTTCATTTCCATCCTTTTGTCTTAAAACCTGTGTTACTGTTCTTTACCTCATTTGAGCCCTAAGCAGTCTCATCTGTCCAAGTAAGAAAAAGCATATTTTAAATGCCATTCCTCATTTATAGCAACGACTTTGTTATGAGAAAATAGGATTGATCTGATCACTTACAGTTGTGTGGCACCTTAGCTGTTGGTTCAGAGAGGAACCTGAGCTTGCATAAAACATTTGCAGTACAATCCTCAACTTTTTTTGAATTCAGGCAAAGTCTTTAGAATGTATTTGTACTTCCTACATTGAAATTCTACAGCTATCTCCATTGGCTGTACAAAATTTCTTCCGAGTAAAATACATAGAAAAATATGATAGTCTATTACAATTAAAAATATAGTCAAAGTAAAACATTCGATTGTCAACCCAGTATTTTACAAAATACAGTGAACATGATTGTGAATCTGAGAATCTGGTTTATAAAAACAGACATTCTTTTGCATATACAATTCCTTGTCTGCAAAGCCACATTTGTGCTGGTGGATTTTGCCTGGCCATGACATCTCATTCCTGACTTTATTTAAAAATTACAAACAGAGCAGTTATTAAAGCCAAGACATGTAGGGTTGGTTTTACTGCAGCTGAAGCCCTTGTAAGCTCTTGGTAGAGGGGAATTTTGGGACATGAAGCAACTTTTGGTCTGATAGAGACCTCTGGGAAAGAGAAGTCCTGTTTTAAAGCACTGAAGTTACCAGTGTTGTCAGGTATTTCCACTGTCTTCAGCATTGATTTAAATCCTGGTACAGTAGCCTAGGAGCAAACACAAAAGTGTTTTACTTGGTTTGAAACATTGAGTTCAGCTGCGAAACAACCAGTGTCTAATGTGCTTGTTTACACTTTAAATGTACAAGAAAAAATGTTCTAAATACACATTTGGGAACATGGGGTGAAAAAAGGATAAAGTTTCCGTTTTATAGCAGTAAGACTTGTACTAGAGAGGGAATCCTGCAGTGATGCTCAGGTGTAAGCCCTCAACTGGCAGCAGGCAGAGCCTGCACTGCATGGATGTTCTCCAACACTTCCTGTGGAGAAACCATTTAGACACGAGGAAATAACTGTCACCAGTGGTGGTGTCAGCCCTGATCCCAGGCTCCACCTCCTCACCCTGAGAGCTCTGTGGTTTGTTTCAAACACCTCAAGCTCAAGTCGTTGTGCTCCAGACCCTCATCCCTGCTGGCTCCACCATCAAGGTCAGATGGGTGCTTATCTCTGGACCTTGAGGACTTGAGATGTTACTGTATCCAAAAATTTCCTTTCTGCCAATTCACATTTAAAGAGACTATTTTCTTTTAAATCTGCTAAAGAGTCTTTACAGCTCCTATACATGACTCAAGCAGTTCAGCTCACTCATCTCTAAGCACATTCTCACTGTGCTCAGGAATTCAAGGCAATTAGGAACAATAATTTAGTAAGGCCGCACACTTACATTGATCACATATGTCCCAGGCAAAAGGAGAAGATAGTACTCCCCTTGTTCATTTGTTCTGTAGGGGCAGATATGAGGCCTTCCTTTGGCTTCCACGATGGCATTGGGAATAGGATTCCCATTCTTATCAGTAACTTGACCCTTGACACCTGTGAAAAAGAGAGGAGAGAGATCACGACCTGTAACTGTAGTGAGCTGCCTCCTCCAAGAAAGTCAGACTGTTCTCTTGCTGGGTGCTCTCAAAGGTTATTTCACTGAGTTTGAGCACATCTAATAGTATCACTAGTCACTTGTCTCACTGAAAGGAATTAAACCAGAATATCCCTGGTTGTTGTTTTTAATAGTTTACTCTCATGTTAAGCTAGAAAGCAGCAATATAATCTCCTAAGTATCATTTGCTGAAGGCATCATATACACTTACTGTATGTATATTTTACTGAAGGGCTTCAATCTTCAGTACTGCTTTGGCATTTTTTTGCACACACCCCTCCCTTCTTTTTTTGTAATTTAAAATAAGTCAGCCTGTTCTCTAGTACTTCCCAAAGGCAGAATAGCAACAATGTCTGATTATGAAGGACTTTCCCTTAATTCTCACAAACCATCTTTAAGGTAGCACTGGCATTAGGCAGAGATGAAACAGGCATTTTGGGCAACAGAATGCAAGATAAGCAACAGATTTGTGCAAGCCCTTCAACTCATTATAAAGCAGCACTGCTTCACTACGCAGCAGCTCTCTTCCAACTGCAAAGCCAGGTCACGAGAAAAACCTTTCAAAAATACAAAATCCAAGTAGCAAAAGACCCACGGGACTTGTACTCAGGCACTCATAAACCTCTAAAATAAATGACTGCCCCAAGGCTGCTCAGGAAAGCAGAGTCCATGAGAGGGGTGTATGGTCACACAGCGCCTGGGGCCTGTCCCTTGCTCCTGCCCCAGTACATTTTAAGCCCCTTGCACTACTGTAGAAGCACCCATTGCCCCTCACCTGACATGCCTGAGTTCTCCTCCCTTACCCATCCCTGGCCTTGCAGCACTTCATGTTCAGAAGCTCCCAAGTTCACACCAGAGCTCCTCCCGCTGTGACACTGACCCAGGCTGCTGAAGAGTTCCCTCTAACCTGGCCTCAGCTTCAGTTCCCATCCCCATTCACATACCCACCTAGGTGTACTTGTTTTATATATTCAATCAGAGCAACTTTGTTGTCTCTCCAGAACTTTTCCAGCTGGTCTGCTGGAGGATATTTACAGCATGACAGCTCCAATGTAATTTCAAAACATTGTCCCCAGACATAGTTGTAATCTTGCATTCCACCTTAAAAGTGAAATAACAGAGTGTTCAGCTACAAAGAAGCACTAAGTTCAAAGTAAAAGACAAATAAAAGAATTAAAATGTTGGTCCTTGCATCGTACCAGTAAGAAAAGTAAATCAGATAAATTATTCCTCAATGCCACACTTGTATTTACTTCCTCTTATGGAAAACAGACTTAATTACTCTAGTTACACACAGAGTGGGGTTTTCTAAAGCACAGTGGCATTTTCAGAATGATGATGATTCTGGCTGAGAAAGGGTGGATCTTTGACTGAAATTCATTCAAGCATTTCCAACTAACTTGTGACAGATAAATTCATTGGTTTGCCGAAGACATTCCAAGAGCCTTTTATGTCTTTGAATTCAGATGGTGAAAGCAACACACAATGCCACAGCACACAGGGCCCATATTCTATTTGGCTACACATAAACAGTAATGAAAACATTTATTTCAGTGATTAGACAATTAAAAAGGATGATGTATGAACAGAAGATTGGTTTTCCTTCTTAAAGGACAAGATCTTTGTGCCAAGGAGTGTGTGCATGTGTGTATAATCTGTACAGTTATTGCAGGCATTAAGCACGGGCACAGAAGCAGCCAAACAGCAGTGAGTGCCTCATTCACTTGTGTAATTGCTGGCTGGGAGAATCTGCAAACACCCGGGTCCTGTTCAGAAAATCTGCATGAGTTGGCCTACACCCCTCATCAGTCCTCTACTCTGGGTAAAATCACTGCCCTTTCATCATCAAAGATGGCAGAAGAAAGTAAGAACATCATATCAGAAGCAGCTGAATAAGACATCGCTGGGATTCTTACCTTCCAGCTGGTACCAAGAGTATCCGTTGGTAATGCCTTCTGGAAAAGTTTGTCTGTTGTCACACCCAGTCCCTTTGTACATGCTGGCATGGTGGGAAGAATAGGTTTTTGCCAGGTGAATAAAGACATCATCATCTGGAGATCTGCTATAGCCTTTCGAAGAGCCAGTAACTACAGAATGAAGACAGCAATTGTGTAACTCTCATTACTGATAAAACATACAGTGCTGGCTTATACACAGGATAAACATCTCCCAAACAGCTATATTAGGCAGTGAATTTTTATGGGGTTTATCAAATTCTGCCCATCCCAACTCAAAAGCTAGAATAACCTTGCAGGAATCCTTATAAATTTTGCTTTGGTACAGCTAACGTTCCTAAACCAAATCAGCTGTAGAGAAGAGAATTTGTTATTAGCTTACCTGAGTTACCATTATCAAAGGTGTAACTGGCAACCAGAGCACCCCCATGCAAGTTTGCTGAAAGAACAAACGTTTCATTTTTTATCCAGTTCATTACTGCTTGAGTCTCTGGCTGAATGTTAGCGCTGTTATTTTCAAAGGCATCAGGAAAATTTCTGTTCAGATCTTCTCCATTCTTGTTGTACCTTAGAGAGAAGACATTCACATTACTGTTTTGCCTGTGGACACTTCCACATCACCAGACTCCCAAGTACTCCAGATCTGTGTCATGGTAGTGTCTTCAGGAAACAAACAAGATGACCATTTCTTATTTCGGAAGTATTAAGATGATAGACTTCAGCTTGATTTCTAGTAGCACTGGAATTTTCATAGGACACAATAAAACAATTTTGCTTTTGTATTTCAAGTGAAAACAGTGCATATATGTGTATAGCATGCACACAGTGACATATATGTGAGTTAGAAAAACCAGAGCCAGATCAGGAGGACATTGCCCTTCTGTATGTGTTTTTCCCACTTGCACAGAGGACCAAGGCAACTACTGAATGGCTGTGTCCCTTGTACTGCCATATCTCTGGGCAGAGAGAAAAATTTGAGTCAAACACAGAATGTATTCTCTTCTCCCTGAACATGAGGAGCATGTGCAAACGCTTACTTGCTTTTTTGCTCAGACAGGTCAGTACAGGAGTAAAAAGGGTATCTGCCATCAGTTGTGTTAATTTTTAAACTCGTTAGTTAAACTCTATTTGACAGTGAGGGGATAAAATATACCCCTCCTCCATACATGTCCCATCTGTTTGCTGAGAAATAAAGTTCTTTCCTAATAAAAAGGATGACCTATACTCGTCACCTAAAGAACCAAACTACCTAAACTACCTTTTACTTGTTTCTGATGTTGCCATGGCCAGTGATCCAAGAGAAATTCTAGCTCATGAGTTTGCTTTTTCTGCACATTCCAACTTTGTCCCTTTGGCATTTTCTTCCCATTCTCTCACTCTTTCCCTATTCTAGCTTGTTAAGCTTTTCATCCCCTTTTTGGTCTCTGTAATGGTTAAATTTAAGAAAGCAAAAGTAGCACAGGACGCAATGCTAAGTTGGTTATATTTTCTTCTGTATTAGTTCTTTTTCCTAGTACTACTATTAGTGCTACTATAGGTACAGCTATTACCTATTACAGCCAGCTCTCACTGCCTAACTCCTCCCTCTTGCTTAACCTGCATTCAACATGATCTTTAAACACACTGCTAGAAGTCAATTCAACAAGCTTAGACACACCTTTGTCTCGTTAAGAAAGGTGACAAAGTTCTCCAACTAAAATAGATCCCTGTGGGTGGAGTTTTCCTTCTTTTTATTTTTTTTTTTCCTACAAAATAAGGAATTGTGCTTGTATTCGCAATCTGGGTCTCCTGCCTAAAAGGTGAGGTCATTACACCATTCTGACCAATTTTCTCTGGCTGCACCACGTATAAACACCAGTCTGACTCAGTCTTCACAAACTCCATGTTGTAACAGTGTGTCTTCAGAACGGCACTGGAAAAAATTAGCCCTAACACATCTTCTAGACTATCCTCTCCACCAAGTATGATTCAGCCTCTTGGCTATCTGCGATTACTGCTCCCCACCCATTTCCTTTGCCTCTCCCACCCTCATAAGCCACCTTTACCTTCCTCGTGTGTAATAACAATCAGGCACTTTTGTAGCTTCAAATCCATCAGGATTCATTGTCGGCATGATATGAATCCGGGTATTATTGAGTAACCGGGTGATAACTGGGTCCTGTCTATAGCTGGTCACCAGGAAGTCTATCAAATGGAGCAGTATTTCTCTCCCAACAGTCTGTATAAAAAAAGAACATAACATTTCATTTTAAGTCTGCTATGGAAGACAAAGAAGAAGAAAATAAATAATAAAAAAAGGCCCATCACCTTACACTTCCAGGTTTTTCTTACTGGATTATACAGACATACAAGGCATACAAGAGCATTCTAATCAACACTGGTTTGTTTTAGGCTCTCCCCTAAATATATTTAAAGCAATTTTGTAGATGAAAGTAGTCACTGGAGGGTTTTTACAAGGGTTTTAAACCCAGATCAACCAGAGCTTTTTGTACAATGGGAAAGTGACTGTATCAGCTAGACTGCTTAAATCTTGTATGGATAAGGCATAGTCTTATCAAAAACTAAAACTGCCTGATAAAGATCATGTGGGCTTGGGAACACCCCACTCTGTTTTCTCAGCCCCACTACAGTCACAGTTCTGTACTGATGCCCAAGGAACCCTGGGTCCTGTACAGCAGTGTCAGTGCTGTGCATCCCCACTTGGCAGTGATAGGTCAAAAGAAAGAAAGGAGAAGCCTACCATAATTCCAGAGCAGGCCTTTTCTTATTGATCCTTTTTATGGAAAGTCAACTTTAATACAGGATCAAAGAGGCCCCATAGACACTTTCGTTACATTCCCTGTTACACTGCTTTATTTTAATGCTGGGGAAACCAAATTTGTACATAAAACTTTGGAAAAAGACATGGGAAACCATCTGGATGCAGACTTTGAATCAAGGAAAGGCAGTGGTAAAAAAAAAGCTGAACACATATTTTTGTTCGTATAAGTTTGTATAACTTGTGAAAGATGACAGGACATCTCTTTTTATCAGATTTCAGGTAAAATAGTGGCAAGTTCCAGACCCAGAGTTAAGAACAATCAATCCTATTCTACCCCAGAAGCCACTACGGCAGTGTTTACTGGACTATACTTTCCAGAGGCACTTTCCATTGCACTGTGACCCATGCTTCAAGGGCACTATAGGGTTCCTAAGCCCTCCTGGAATGGGAACAAGCCAAGATGTGCAACTAGATGTACTCTAGAGACAACTTAGTTCTACTTTATCTCCAAAAACAAAGCTTGGTAAATCACTGCAGGCTCTATTTCAGAGCTACAGCATCTCAGTATCTTTTAGAACTAGTCTTGCACCACTAAGTTGGAAATATTGCAAAGAATTCTTTTTTCCAAAGTAAGCAACACAGAGTGGCATTACCAGATGAACCTGATGTTGCAGATACACATCTCCTTGCTTTAAGATTACATTAATAATTTTTTCACAGATATTGCACAGAACATTCTGAGTTGGAAGGGATGCACAAGGATCATTGAGTCCAACTCTTAAGGAATGGCCCCTGCAGAGATCAAATCCACCACCTTGGTGTTATTAGCACCATGTTCTAACCAACTGAGCTAATTTCAGGTAAAAGGCAGGTAGAATCAAGTAGGGAAAAAGCAATACTTCTCCACAGCTATTTGCTGCACTCATTATCTTGTTGAATTTTCACATTGGTGTATTTTAAGTGGCAAATTCTGCTTTTGGTATTAAGGAAATTGGAACATAGACACAATCCAGCAGGACTCTGCCTGGATACATGATGGGGCAGGAGAAGTGGGTATAGCTGCTGTTCAGGTTGGGAACAAACCATGTCTTGCCAGTTAGATGCCAATTGCTGTTTATTGCAGAAGAAACAAACTTAGAGTCAAACCTGACTCGGCTCAGTTGCGGATCACACCGTTTTAAGTGTCGTACCTGAAGGCAGCCATGGTCTCTGAACTGGCAATTCTGCCATGCTGTTTGCACTAGGAAAAAGGAGGAGCCCTTCTCTTCCCACCCTGCCCCCCAGTAGATTTGTTCTTAGATTTTACCCCTGTTGCTGGTCTCTTGCATGCAATCATCAAGTAATCTGCTAGGGGAAGCTGCATTACTCAAACACATATACAATGCCAGTAACTAAGTGGTTCTTTTTGCAGACACTACAGAAAATGGGCCTTGAAAAAGGGGGCAGGGAAGGTACCTACTTTCCTCCATTTCCAGTAGCTTTCAAAGCAGCACCTGAGTAGGTGAAACAGACTGCTCTGCATGTTTGATAAGTGTACTCCGTGACATTTACAAAGAGATGCAACAGAACCTGTCTTGCACAGGCAGCTCTTGAACAGGGTGATAGACATCTTGGGAAGAATATAGGGGTGGGTGAAGGAAGGAAGGGAGAGAAACCAGCCAAATTATGGCCCTGGGCATGAGAGATAAAGCTAAAAGAGTCAGAATCAGCAAGAATGGCCCTACCACAGAGACAGCTAAACTACAGACAAGACTGCACTGCTGTCTGGAGAAACTAGGAAAGGGTTCTTCTCCTGCTGTACTTCTCTTCTGTGCCTGACCAAAAGAAAGGGTAGAGAAGCAGGAAAAGAAAGGGGGAAAAAACAGATAAAGAAAAGTAACTAAAGAAGATAATAGAAAAGGACAATATTGACAAAGAATGAAAGATGACCAGTTTTTCACAAATTACATTCTTTGCACTTAAAAGTTAGCCCCAGACTTAGTTATGTATACAGTATTTTAAAAACTAACTCTATTTTATAGGAATCCTTGTATAGCTATTTTTGTACCCAAGTACTCAGCACATTAAATTATTCAGATTATCTCTAGCATAAGAGAACTGGTCCTTTTATCATTGCACTTGAGGGAAGAATATACTTATTACCACTGTTTTGGGTTTTATTTGGATCCAGAGTACCCTGCATTTCTTGAAAAAGTACATCTGAGGGTGTCTGAAGGAGAGGAAAAGTCTTTGTTTCTGGGAAAGCATAGCTCAAGTTTTGATCAAGCCTTTGGAAAGCATCTGCTGTTCAATCAAGCTTTACCCTGGTAAGCTGTATCTGTTGATAAGAGTTATGAGTTACTTAGTTTTTACTTCAGAGCTTCAAATAAAGGATTTGGATACACTGAAGGTAGGTTGCTGACAGTAAAGTCAAGGACAGACACCGTAACCTGCCTCAAGTCTCATACAGAGATAGAGAAGAGCAGGGGACAGCATTCATATGCTCTGCGCCTTTGAGAAGACATAATGAATTGCAGTATCCCGAGTGTGATGCCCAGGTGTTTTTAAGTTTCTCTGTGCACTTTCAGCTGTCAGTTCCCTCCTGTGCCCCAAAGGGAGAAAGTCAGCAGGAAAGGCTTTCAGTGTTCCTCAGGGGAACTCTGGAAGGAAGAAGTGTGCATGTGTCAGGGCACGGATCAACACTGTAGAAAAGGGTGTGACTGCTGTTTCTGTACATGTATCCCTTAAACTTTCTGACTCTCCCCCCTGGCATGGCTGTGTCAGCACCTTGCTCAGCTACCAGAGGGCTTACTCAAGAAGCCAGTTAGAAGATTAAGGTTAGCTTCAATTGGACCCACACTGTGACACTTTACTGCAGCACCCCTGGTTTTAGAACATTGTTGTTACCACATGATAGAGACCATAGGTGGATGGACTCTGCCCATTTTTATTATTAAAATTCTTTCCTTAAACATAGCCTGGTTTTTAAGTGGAACAATGTCGAAAGAAAGATCCAAACCATCAGGTAGGACCTGTTTCAGGGCAACACAGTCTTGCCAGTCTCCTTGCTCGAGCCCCAGTTGCTCCACAGGCCTAGTTCAGCATACCAGGCACGACCTCACCTAAGGAAGTGGAGTTAGAGCAGAGAAACCAGTAGTCCATCTACGTTTCCCACTTAAACACCACACTTACAAGATGTTATTTCTAACACTTGTACAGCATTAATTATTATGCACCGCTACAACACACCCCACTGTGTTTGTCCTTCTTTACTAAAATACACCAGTGTTAAAGTGACTGTTTATGCAAATAGTTTGGCAGACATCAATTTATTTCTACAGCAGCAATTACTATGAAAATCTGAGAATAGCACATGTATGACAGGGAAGTGCAGTTCATTGGTTTATCACTGAAGGAAATGGCAACATAAAGCCTGCTTTTGAACTAGTTACCGGTGTGAGTTGTTACTGCCTGGACAAATTCCACAAGGCTTCAACTGACTGACAAACAGATAGCTTTTCCTTTTCCCTCTCAGAAAAGTGTGAGGAAGATAAGGAAAAAGGTAACTGGGGCAAGGCAGTGTTGAACTGTGTTGAAACAGATCTCAGCACGACCCAGCTTTTTTTAAAGTCTGTTGTTAGCACTGAGATTTGATTGCTATGAATTTTGAAACCTCTGGTGCTTCTGACCTTCGTAACATTGCATCAGCTGATACTGAAGTCAGGTGGAAAATAGTTCACAATGCAATTTTTTTTAATAAATGGGGTTTTTTTATTTTCTAGAGCACATATTATTTCCCTGCACACCACTTTCATAATATATTGCATAGTACTAAGGACATAGGAACATGTGCTGAAAATTCCTCATAGCATAATTGTTTTTGTGCAACTAGGTGATTAAAAAAAAAAAAAAAAAGCTTTTTTTTTCTATAGTGCTATCTTGATAGTGTAAATGTAGCTTCCATTTATTTTCTTGGAAATAGGGAGTGAGAAATTCTGTACAAGAATTGGAGTTGTCATTAATTTGTTGTTTAAGTTTTTTTAAGTCTCAATTAAACTGATTACAGATAAAACGACTCCACTCCTTACTCATCTAAGCCCTAATCACACCATATCTCAGGAAACCTTATTGTGGATATGACCATGTCTGTGATGACACGGAAAATAGGATATGGGTACTTTAATTTATTTCACAAGACAAGCCAGCAAGACAATCTCATCCTTTCATGTAGGTTAACTGACCTATCAGCTCAGGCTCAGTTTCACATAATGAAAGAGGCAAAATAGTACTACACTAAGAAAATACAGCGATCAGAAGTGGATGCTTTAGGAGAAAAGGAGTGGTATCAGCATTGCCATCCTGAGAAAGATGCTATCTTGTGATGGCCCAGTTACACTGTAGCTGCAGAAAGGTAAGAAACCCATGTACTTAATAAATTAAAGGGAACAAGCAGAAACACACAGGTCATTTAGGGTTTGTTGAGACATGCTTCTTCTTAAAGGATTTCCCTGCTGTGATACACCTGGTTCAGGAACAGCCTTCCAATTAGATTCTATGGTTTAGCTGTACAGAATAGACTCAAGTCACTGGCACAGCTGGTACAAACGTGATAGTTCTACTCCATTTACGACTTCGGGGTGTTTAGGGGATTGGTTGTGGTTGATGTTAAGTGGAATCAGTTCTTCCCCAGGGAGGAATGTGTGAGTGTACAGACTGAGAAAGAGAAGATCTTTCAAGCAAGAGTATGAGGTTGGGATAAGAGAAGCAGCTGCCTAATTTAGAATAGGAGCTGCCCCAGAGCAGCAGGCAAACTCTCCCTCACCTTCCCCAGTGCAGTCTCTATAACATTTCACAGGCTTATGCATTTTGTACAGTCTGTTAGTGCCATTTTGATGAGTCAGTTTAAATTAGTTTTAAGCTGGTTTGGGTTAAACAAAAAGTACTCCTAAAGATGGTGTCCAACTTCATACAGTCACACAAAGAACAGGAGGAGTCTTTTATTGTCTCTCCGTGAATCTGGGGCAAAAGTTCACTCTATTTGGCAATGATGAACATAAAAGCAAGTCTTTTAAATCTTGGCTGGTTACGTCTTACAGTGTTAAGAAAAAAATCAGCCAGTTCTGAAAAAAAACTTTTTTCCTAGAATTTTGTACTCACATTATTTTATTAGAACTTCCCTATTGGGCAACTCTCCAAATAGATTTTCTTCCAGCAGCATGTGTGAACAGCCCACACACATGCAATTTAGGATCCTTCCCAACTTTTATGTTTTAGGAGCAGCTGGCCAGCTAACTCAAAGTTAAGTATCATTTGTGTGATCATGACAGGGTAGAAGGGCAGCATGACCAAACAACACTTGAGAACAGAACTTTTCTCATTTTGTATCATTTATGGAAAGCATCACTGAAGCACAAAAAATCTAACTGGATCAATGAAGCCATAATCCCACAATTTGAATTTATGAAAGACTCTGGCACACAAATTGAAGCTTGTCATACAATTAGGGCAAAACTTATCTGCTTAATATATTGAGGGAGTAGTTGAATCTATCCCCAGTGACTGTCCAGCAGAATCTTAGATTATGGGAAAAAAAAAATTCAAATTCTCCAATGCCTCTCTATATGAGGAATTCATTTCCTGACATCTGAAATACATTTACAATCAGATAAAAAGCAAACACCAACTGTGCATTATATGTTTACATTAAAAAACCCCATTAGGCAAAGATCATCATGAGGGCCTGAAAGAAAGAACAGCTCTATTTCCAGAATGTTCCCTAGGTGCATGCTTGGTCTAGTGAACAAGTGAGAACGTAGCACGCCACTCAGTGTCTCAGTGTTATATGGTATCCAGGCATCTCAAGGATCAACCCTGTTCAGACTGTCTGGCACTGTGTATGATTTTAAAACAAAATCTTGTCTCATTTCCTCATGAAGACAGTAAAAACCTTAGATCCTAGGCAGTGATCTGAGTTGCCAATCTGCAGCAAATCCCAACCCTATGGATATGCAAATGGTGCTTGTTTCTATGTTCAGAGCTCCTTGTATGTATCCACCTGGGCAGGGATAATGGCACGGGTGCTTCGTTGTGGAAGCTTCAATATCTGTGGCCTTTTGCAGTGCAGCAACATTGGGTATGAGAGTCATGCCATGCTGGATGAGATCATATCTTGCTCTCCACCTCCTTCCCATCAAAGCTAAGTGATCTATAGCCATAGGTTTGTAATTCCCATCAGCAGTCTGCAGTGACTGTCATACGGACCCTCAGATCCTAGGCACCATGCGCTCCCCTGCTGACACAAAACAGGTTTCAGGAGCTGCAAACCCTGTCTTGGGCATCCAGTAACACATTTGAAGCCATGAATCAGCCTCTTCCCACACAGAGTTAAATTCCAAATCAGTCAAATTTCCAGCAGCACTTTGAGCACAGTCACTGTCAAACAAGGTGAAACTAGTCTAACTTGGGGAAAATTCTTGGCACAAAATGTCACGAGTGCCTGCAGGCATGCAAGTGCTCCCACACAGTATTGTTAATAGTAATAACTTGTGATACATTGCCCTTTACACAGGATGTACTTCCTACTACACGTATTTTTCTTAGTTTCGGGAATTCACAGACTAGCATATATATTTATATATATATACATACACTCCTGCTAAATTATTTAACCCTCACATGAAGACTGCATAAAAATATATTGCACAGTTAAAACGTTTAATGAACATGACTAATATAAGCAGGTAAAGCTAAAGAATAAGGGAAATAGAAAGCAAGAAAGTACTATAGAGAAGAGTGAAGCTTTGATTCTTTCTGATCCAGATTCATGTACTGCACCAGGAAGGCTTAAAATCACCATTTTCTTATTTATCATTAATAAGTGGGCATTCTTCCCAGAGCAAGTTAATTGCTTTGGAATTGCTTTTTGTTTTGTATTCACTGTGTTAGCTCAGGTGAATTTAGGTGTTCCTAGCTTAAGGTTTCCAAGATAAATGTTCTGCCTAAAATAAATAATTTGATGCTTCACAGCAATTATAATTTAATCTTAGGATGTATTTGAAGAGTTCTATCATATTCCATGCCTAAGCAATAATAATGTACAAGCAAACTACTGAATCTGACTCACCAACAGGAAAGTTAAAGCCTCTGGTTTTTATCACTTGAAGAAGACAAAGCTCTCTGCTTAAGAGGGGTCTTGGATGTAGGATTGTAGGACCCTTCACTATGATGTAAGGTCTGCTAAAGCCTTTCCACCAAAACAAGGGAACTTTATTCTTAAAATTCCTCAAGAAATACACACATATTATGTCCTCTTTCAGTTATGACATACCTCAATAATAAGTAGCACAAGCCAGAGAAAAGTTCACTCTAAACCCCTGGTAAGTGTATTTGGTATAAATGACATTGCAAAAATTGAAACGTACCTCATCCCCATGCATATTAGCAACATACTTGAACTCTGGAATGCCAATCTTATGATGGGTTGGAAACTTTCCCAGAACAAGAACCCACAGGTCTCTACCTTTAAGAGGGGAAGGGGAAAAGACATTTTTTAAACAAGTATAAAATCATACAAGCCTTAGAAGAATAAAAAGAATTGGTCATTGAGGCCACCATACAATTTCCATTTCATATTTCATTGGTGCCCAGTCACTCCTATATATAACATATCAAAGTAGACTGTGGAGTGCTTTTATTCTATGAATATATGCTATATTAGTTATAGGAACAAATATGCTTTGCCTTCTGACCAAGTATGTAGTGAACCCTGCAATTTCTACAGCATTTAACCAGTACTAGAAAAGAAGGCTTTTTTTTTTTGTAATAAACATTTTTCAAATTGAATGAAGCAAACAAGATCACTCTTCCCCCCAAAATATTACATTATAAGGCTTTTCTGAAGTATATATAGAAGTTTTCATTATCACAAAGAAAGAACATTTGTTTTTGTACTAAAGACAACACAAAAAAGCTAAACACATTCATGCATTACTGCTCAGAAAACAGGAGGTACCAGGAAGAGTTGTATCAGAGACATATTCCAAATATATCAGCAGGGAAGGAATTAATAGCTATAGAAAGAGTATTAGTTAGGACCACTAACGCTGCACAGGAAGCTGAACTTCAAGTAACAAAATAAACAAACATACATGCGTTTTGGAAGTCCTCTTTGGTGGGTGGGGGGAAATTTGTAAAAATTATTATTTTTATTGATACTGTGGCATTTCAGACCTCATCTGCAAAACTCTGCTTCCCGCTAGTCTGCTCATTGACGTGGAAAACTCAAGTTTCAGCAGATGGCAGCAATGAAACTGGACCAGTTCTTTGATAAAAGCAGTCACAGCCTAGAGATTGCTAATGCCCAGAGCTTGCACTCGTGCTACCTGTCCCCAGCTCTCACACAGGACTAGTTGGGACCCATGAGCTGTCTGAGAAGAGCGCAGCCATCATTGTTACTTACAAGAAAGAAGAACGTAGGTGCTGCTATAGGCAGTACTATAAAAAGCATTATTTCGCAAATCTTTGTGGATCATCAAATCTGCAGTAAACAAGCTCTGGAGCATATAAATTTCCCATTCCTCAACCCATGACCTCCATGGTCATGCACAGGCCACAGCACTCTTGTTTGCTTTTCTAGCTGTGTGACTCACAACAGTTATGCTACAAGGGTCATGGCTTCAGGAATGGGAGAAAAAAATCAAATAGGACTGAAAAACACTGCAAGATGCACTGAAACAATTCTAAGAGGTAAAACTGAAGACAGCTTTTTCCAAACTAAATTCTCATTTAACAGGTTGAGTCAGTCTCAGCTTAGGAGACAGCACTGAGAGCTGACAGGTTCAACAAGAAGTGATCTCAGGATTCCTGTTGTTACTCTAGAAGACATTGCTGTTCAACCCTTGTAACCATGTGCTATGCACAAAGCTGTGATATGCTGCTACTGACTCTTTCATTAAAGGACAATGTGAGAAAGCAATCCATATTTTAAAAAATAATTCTGTGGTAAGTGATTTGGCAAGGAATCTAGTTATTTGGCTTTGTTTATGCAGAGCCCCTGCTCCATTAAAAAAAAAAAAAAGGACACTTCTGTAAGCTTAGACAAGTTATAGAGTGGAGTACCCAGAGATACACGCTTTTAAGCACATCCTTCTTCAAAAAGGAAAGCAAGAGAATACCTAATCCCTATCATCCTAGTCCTTCTCTCCTCCAACCTCAACCATTCTGCAATTCTGTGAAAATACATGACAAGTCTTGCTGCAGTAGTATATATGTGGAACTGAAAACAATCCTAGTTGTGAAAAACATATGCTACTGTTATTCATGATCAAGTGTGGACAACAATCTCAATTTCCATCTCTGCAATGTGTCCTTCTCTTCATGGTTGTATCCTGGGGCAACCTGCAAAGAATTACCAAGGAAGTCCTTCCAGAGTGCTCCTATGAGTCTTTGTCCATATGCCCTCTAAGCCATTCCTCCCAGCTCCCATTCTCTCTACTGGAAGGAAATTTCAGACATCCCTCCTTGGTTCCAGTGTGTCAGTTGCCGTATGGACTGCTGCACCAAGCAGAAGATACCTGCTTACAGTTGAGATTGCAGCCTTCTCACCACATCCCAAACCCAGAGTTGACTACTGCAAACCTAAATGTGCAGCAGTGAGGGGTTCATCAGACCTAGCAGCAGCGCCAAAGAGCACATCCAACATCTAAAAGTCAGCAGTGAAATTATAAGATTAATGCAACAAAGGACCTATACTGGAAACCTGATGGTCCCAGTTCTCTCCCAGATAAAGACAGATACAGATAAATTATAACACACAAGGTTTCCTACAGAGGAAGCCTATGTCTTCAATAAGATTATAAATTCATTCAGGTCTGATACTGCCCATTATCAGAATGAGTACCAACCACACAGGGCTTCAGAATACCTCAGAGCCAACAGGTTTAGTGAATTACATGTAAAAAGACCTTTCAGAGCAAGTGAAATAAGTGCCAATTAAAAGCATTACTTTCCTCAAATCCTTGATGATTTCCTGCACGAGCAGAAAGCAGTGACTTAGAAGGTGAGATGATTTAAGGTCCTGAGCCTGCACTAAACTAACCAATATATTTACTACATTTATATTACCTTCCTGTACATAATTATTATCATAATATATAAAATAACCAATTGATCACAGCAGCCAAGCAATGCTGTAGTCTCTAGAACATGAAGCATCTTATCTCACCAATAACCAGATGTTAAAATTAGCCCCTGGTTTTATTTGAAAGGAAGCAGATCACAAGGGCTATTTCAAATCCAACTACCAGCAATGACAACACCCTCATCCATTGCTACAGACTTCTTGGAGTAGCTGGTGAACTAATGTAGAACAGTGTGATATTTTTTAGCCACTTCCCCATAGCAGTACCAGCACCAATTCAGTACTGTACATATACTCAAACAACAATAGTCCAAGTACAGGTAAAATGCTCTAGATGTTTCCATAATTTAAGACTTTCTACAAATAATATTTTATTCTGTTTTCAAATTTTGAAAAAGTACTTCTAATGGCTTGCCATGAGCAGTGCTCATTCCTGCTGCTCTCACTGTGAAATTGCCCTCATGGGAAACACAAGGAAGAGCTAAGTATAGACTAACATTAAGTACTGATGTAAATTGGTCTTTCCAGCATTAGTATTTAGACTGTTTATAGTTTGTGTGAGGGCCATCTAAATGATAAACACTCCCATGAACTGAGATACCAATTATTTCCTGGCATTTCCAGTTTGTAAGAGGTATTAAACCTACCATTAACAATTAAAATAAATTCCTAGGTCTGCTCAGCCTGCAGTACTGGATAGTATACTTATGAGGAATGATGTAAGATTTCTTTCCATATGGCAGTAATTAACTGCATATAAAAAGATTAAGCATATGGATGGTTTCCTTTAATCAGTAAAGCCTAGATAACTCTAGTTTTGTACCTGAGGTGAACAACTAAGCTTCCTCTCATGATCTGAATCAACTGAATTTATGCAAAAAAACCATTCCTCACTGCCAAACCAGAACTGACATCAACTAATTAGTGAACTATATTTCAAGTAATCAAGACAAACGTATGTTTCTAACTGTGTGTCTCAGGACAAGTAACAAGACTTGTTTTGGAACAGAGCCAGATCACACAGCTTCTTGCAGAATGAGCAATCTTTTAAACTTTTTAAAATGTTTCCTAGCATTGCCACAGTTCACAGCATAGTATCAGTACTCTAAAGAGATCTAGAAAAACTAGTAATTAAAATGGAGAATTGAAACTGATCTCTAGATCTAGTGAAAAAGAAACCAAATCAGTTTGTAGATGCTGGAGTCCGGATTGTGTCCTGAATTTCATTTCTACTTTTCTTCACTCGTTCTTTACAGCTTCATTTATGAAAAACTTGTCATTTCAAAGAAAGTCATGGGTAGGAAATGAAGTGGAATGACTGGGCAGTGCCCCTGACCCACTGTCAGTACCCGCCAGGCCAGGCTAATGATTCAAAAGTTTGCTGGGGGGACCACTTCGACCAAGAAAAACAATAATCTCATTACAGTCCTCCTGGGTTGGCCACGTGTTGGCCACTGGCTTCATGGGTAGGAACTGCAGTAATGCTGATCCATGTTGAGGCAGTCCTTCCTCGAAGGGAGCAGGACAGAGAGGAGGGGAAGAGAGATTGCCACTCATTAGAATGCAAGGTCACAAAACAATTTACTTGTAGAAACAATCTCTGAATCATTCAACAGCCAAGGTTGGAAGGGACCTCAAAAGATCATCTGGTCCAACCTTACATGGGAAAGGGAACGTAGATAAAATTATCAAGCACTCTGTTCAATTGCATCTTTAAAACCTCCAGTGATAAGGACTCTGCCTCATCTCTGGGGAAGTTGTTCCAGTGAATGATTGTTCTCAATATAAAAATTTCTTTCTTATATTGAGATTAAACCTCTTGCAGTGCCACTTGTATCTGCTGCCTCTTGTTTTTTTCCACACGGCTCCTTGTGAAGAGAGAGGCTCCATCCTCTTTGTAGCCACCCTTGAAATACTGGAATCCTGTGATGAGGTTCCCCCCAAGCCTTCTCTTCTCCAGGGAGATGAGCCTCCTTCGATCCTTTCTCACAGGGCAGATTCTCCAGCCCTTTGATCATCTTTGTAGCCCTCTTTTGGATCCTCTCCAGTCTGTCCTCATCTTTCCTGAATTGTGGAGGCCAGAACTGGACACAACACTCCAAGTGCAGCCTCACAAGCACTGAGCAGAGTAGGATGATCACATTTCCATCTCAGCTAGTAATGTCCCTGTGGATGCAGCCCAGGATCTGATCCACCTTCATTCCTGCAGCAGCACACTGCTGACTCGTGTTCAGCTTGCTGTTCACCAGGCCCCCAGGTCCCTTCCAGCAAGGCTGCTCCCTGGCGATGCAGATCTCACCTGTACTGCATGCTTTGGTATTCTGTCCCAGAGGCAGGATTTTTCATTTGTCACTATTAGTATTCACACTGTTCTTCATAGC